CTTTCTCTGGACCTTTGTTCCCAAACCCCGGTGTTTTAAGATGGTGGGTCTTTCACCCCACAAATTCCCACGCCCGCCATGGCTGCGGGGGGAATTCTGGGAGTTGAAGTCCATCCAACCTGAAGTTGTGGAGGTTGAGAAACACTGCTCTAGGGCATTTTATGGCAAAGCAAAACGTATTTCTTTTCAAGGCAAACACATTTGAATGTATTTTTTCATACTGATATCGTTAGAGATATGAGACTTCAGAACAGGTTGATTTACTTGCCCAGGTTTGCCCGCTCCCTAACCCTTGCAGCTCTTGGCAGCTTAAAATATATCTCCATACCTTCCTATCTCTAACGATATCAATATGAAGACTACAGCCAACTGCAAAAAAAGTATGGAAAACTACAAGGTATTAAAAACAAGTAATCAATACAACTATTCAATATTGTTCCTGAAAGCTCTTGTTGTTTTCGGGTGTTCAAATACACGCAGTTTGGGATATTTTAGTTTTTGCAATTGGGAAAAGAGAATCTCCATTCCTCATGTGTCTGAGGAGCAGAGAAGGGTAGAATTACCTTCTAAAGCAGTCTTTCACACGTGTGAAGCACTGCCCATGAATTAAACCAACAGCCCCCCATATGCTTTTCCCTTCCAAAGCAGGATTGTTCCTATTTTTCAGAGAACAAGGTACTTATTACAGTCCTAGGTGTCCCTACGTATCAGCCCTGCAAGGTAGGCCAGGTCAGGAAACAGATGCCCCAAGAAATACTAGGATTCAACTTTATTGTTCTAGGTTGCGATAACAGGGACAGTGTTTCTCCTTCCCTCCCTCTTATACCAAAGAAAATCAAGGTGGGGTTATCTTGAGTTTCTTTCTCACACTTTCCTGTATTCCTGGACTGAGCTCATGTTTTGCGAACGGTCTCCACATACCTGCTCCAAGGTCATCTCTGTGCTCCTCTGCACTGGGGGAGGGCAAAACTCCATAACTGATGCACTTGCATAAATGTAACGCAAGTATGAAATGCTACAGCCTTTGTTGTAATGTTACTTCGTCATCATTGTGTCTAGCTGTGGACCCCTATGATTTTGCTTTTGGCTATGCCTTCCCCTACCACCCATTTTAAAGGACGTTTTAAACTCACTTTGGCATCAAACCTTTTAATCCAAACTTGTTTACCCCTTGCATTTGAACCATGTGCTGCCACAACAATAACCCTACCCACAAACGTGCTGCTTTCCAATAGCAATCTCTAAGGAATTCAGGTCGCCTGCTCTCCAGCCCAGGGAAATCCCGCTTTTTGATATCGACTGTCTTAACTGCTTCTTGGACACTTTTCTTTTGGAACGCTTGTGCAAGGTCACACTTCATTTAGCGCCGTGCATGTGGCCCCAGGAACGGCGCTCGTGACCTGTTTGCTATTGTCAGCTTTCTGAATGCTAGGCTTTCTCCTACATCTTCCTGTCTTCCTTCTTAAATCTAACTGAGAGCTTGACTTAAAAAAAATGGATAAGGAATATTAAAGATCTTACTGTGTGGATAGCTCCTCTAACTGAGACTCTAGAGGGACTTCGGAGAGTTGCATGGATGGGAGATCTTTCTTATCCCCTGCATTCCAGCTCATTCTGGTACTGCTGGGGGGCTGAGCCGTTGAGACAAGACCTGTTGTTAAACGGAAACGCTGATCCAGAAGTCTGCCCAGACTCAAACCCACCAAAGTCTAACTTTTCTAAAAAAAACCCACGATACACATTTTCAGTTGAGATGGGAAAAGATACACTGGGATTTCCCCCAAACCCAAGAAGTACACCAGTGTTTTTCAAACTCGGCAACTTTAAGATAGGTGGACTTCAACTCCCAGAATTCCCCAGAATTCCATGCTGGCTGGGGGATTTTGGGAGTTGAAGTCCACCCATCTTAAAGTTGCTGAGGTTGAGGAACCCTGATGTAGAGCGCATCTGTGCAAAGTACAGTCAGCAGGATTTAGTTCACGTAAGTTATTTTACAATATTCTCTTCAACTGATATGGTTCCAGGAATTTTTACAGGGATGAAATCAAATGCAGCCTTACATAGAGCATATTATGTTGAGCAGGATTCCTCAACCTCAGCAACTTTAAGATGGGTGGACTTCAACTCCCAGAATTCCCCCCCCCCCTTAGTCGGCTGGGGGGTTTGTGGTGGTTTAGAGCATCATTTCTCAAACTGGCCTGGTCTGAGACAACAGA